CTTACTCCATGAGCTGCTGTGTCTTTTACCTGAGCCCCACAAGGACACAACTGACCAACTTGAAGGGATTGTTTTGTAATGACCCTCAAGGATAGGTGATGGCAAAACATTAAAGCATGCTTATCTAAACGCTGTCATTGTTTGCTGCACTTAAGATTTTTAAATAGCTAGTGAAGTTCTTTGGTATGGGAAAGTTTAGATCCAAGGTTAAAGTTGAACAAAGTCTACATGCTGCAACATATATGTGTTGGTAGCGTATATCACAGATCCTTTGTTCGATTAATGACATAGAAACAAAAAAAAGTAAACTTGGTCTGAACTGCCAGTGGCTGAGTGGGAAAGAGATCTTAGGGCTGTAGTAGATAGCTTGATGAAAATATTGACTAAGTATGCTGCCATGTGAAAAAGGCAAACTCTGCTGGAGAGTAGTAGGAAAGGAATTATGTGAAACTAGGAATATAGCTCTGGGTGTCAATTTGCTGTGGTCACCTCAGCAGAGTATAATGAGACAGAATCCACCATTTTCTCCAGGGGAACTTATCTCTGCCATCTGAAGAGCAGTTGTAATTCTGAGTGATCTCCAGCCTTCACCTGGAGATTGGGAACAATGGTTTCCCAGGAGGAAATGGCTGGTTTGGAGGGTGGAGTCTATAGCATTATACCTGTCTGAGGTCCCACCCCTCAAACCCCACCCTCTCCAGGCTCCACCCCTCAAATCTCCAGGAATTTCCTAACCTGGAGTTGGCAACCCTATCTGCTTCCCAGCCAACCATGAATGTGCCATTATCTGCCCCTCTGACTTCAGGTTTCCATCTCATCCCCCCTCCCTGTAGCCTCTACCTAGGAAAAGTACAGTCTTTTTCCACAATGGGGACCAAAGCAGCTCACATCATTCTCCTCTCCCCATTTTTGATCTGCACAACAACCCTGTGAGGTATGTTATGCTGAAAGTCTGTGAGTGGTCTGAAATCACCCAAATAGCTTCCACAGGAAGAACCTGGGGTTGGCAGACCCTGCTCTGGAGTGCTAACTGCTACGTCATACTCGCTGTCATAGGGGGGGGGCACCTCAGCAGGGTATAAATAAATAAATAAAATAAGGACAAAGAGTCCACCAGGGAAACTGATCTCTGCCATCTGGAGAGCAGTTGTAATTCTGAGTGATCTCCAGCCCTCACCTGGGGATTGGCAACACTGGTTTTTCAGGAGGAAAAGTACAGTCTCTGCAGTGGGGACCAAAGCAGCTTACATCATTCTCCTCTCATCCTTTTGATCTGCACAACAACCCTGTTAGGTAGGTTAGGCTGAAAGTCTGTGACTGGTCTGAAATCACCCACTCAGCTTCCACAGCAAGAACCTAGGTCTTTCCCAGAGAAAATAACTGCTTTGGAGGGTGGACACGATGGTATTCCATTCGGCTGAGGCCTCTCCCCTCCCCAAACTCTGGATTCCATAGACTCCACCATAAAACCTCCATGAATTTCCCAACCTGGAGCAATGGCTGATGGAGTGCACTGCACAGCTAATGGGAGGGCTGGAAATGGCCAATACATAAGGGAATTATATATATATATATATATAGGATGGTCAACATTGTGATTCTCGTGTAGATCTACAGTGAGGCTTCATTTGGAGTACTGTGTGCAGTTCTGGTCACCAAATCTCAAAAAGGACATTGTAGAGCTGGATAAAGTGTGGGAAAAGGCAGTGGTGGCAGTACCTTTTCTATGGGAGGGGATGTCTTTAGGTCGCTCTAATGTTCCGTTACCTTTGCTTTTGCAGCAGGAAGAATGGCTACGTGGCCAGGATGGCTGCTGGCTCTCTGCCTAGGTAGTTAGCCAGCCCCTCCCTTCCTTGGTCATCTGGAGAGAACTGAGCAGCCCAGCAAAAGCGTCCCAACATTATTGCACTCTGTCCACAATGATGTCCCTTCCTATTGGTGACCCATTTCTGGGGGGAGCTACCAAGCATGGCCCTTGGCTCCTCACCATGAGCATGCTCAGATCAGACCGCCTTGCTCCCTTTGGTATCGCTGGTGGCAGTGTGCACTCGTGGCACTGGGGGGGGTTTTAAGCAGGAAAAGATTGGCCCCAGCCAAGTGAAAGCCTTTCCTGCTTCACAAGAGGAAATTATATCATCATCAGTGCAACAATAAGACCCACCTCAGGTCTTGACCACGAACTGTCTTCCACTTCCCCCCTCTGCAGCTCAAACACCGTTGGATGTCTCCAATCTGTTCACTTTCTGGGAAGACAAGAGGCCTCAGCACTTCCCGGAACCTCTCCGGCACATGTCTCTGGTCCACAGCCCACTGGACGTCTGCTCAAGCCCCGATGACCGGCGGCCGCAGCAGGTGGAATCCAAACTGGAGTGCTTGCAGGCCCAGCTCAGCAGGTGACGCCTTCTCCTGGGAGGGCGGGGAGGGTGTTGTTTACTTGTTCATTGAAATTTATATCCCCCCCTTCCCTGGTGGCGCAAGGTTGGTTATCATAATAGTTAAAAACATTTTCAGTTAGAGACCAAAATGAGGAAGCAAACACCAAATCTGTCCCCCACTCTTCCCTTAAAGTCCCAGGCCCCCGAAGTGTGAAGTTTGCCCAAACTAAGGCCAGGGCGTTTTCGGTAGCGGCTCCTACCTGGTGGAACGAGCTCCTGGAGGAGATCTGGGCCCTGCGGGACCTTGTACAGTTCCGCAGGGCCTGCAAGATGGAGCTCTTCCGCTAGGCCTTTGAGTAGGAGCTGCCGCCGCCACTGTTCCACCACTGAGATTTCATCATCCATCTACCCCATTACTGGGGGGGGGGTAGATGTCGCCCAGCAGAGATGGGGAGAAGATCATTCCTGGTGCTCATGCCATTTAAAAAGTCGGCTGTCAATGTGGAATGTTGCGCATCTTGGTGATTTTATGTAGATTATTAGAGCACCGATTTTATTATGTATGTAATATTGTTTATATGTAATATTATATATGTAATATTGTTGTAATATTGAGCTGCGGTGGCTCAAGTGGTTAAGATGCTGAACTGCAGGCTGTGGAAGATCAGTAGTTCAGCAGTTCAAGACCCAGGGTGCCGCATGACAGAGTGAGCTCCTGTCTCTAGTTCCAGCTCCTGCCAACCCAGCAGTTCGAAAGCAAGAAATTGCAAGTAGATAAACAGGTACCACTTCGGTGGGAAGGTCACAGCGTTCCGTGCGCCTTGGTGTTTAGTCATGCCGGCCACATGACCACGGAAACGTCTTCGGACAGCGCTGGCTCTTTGGCTTTGAAACGGAGATGAGCACCGCAACCCTAGAGTCGGAACCGACTGGCTTTCGAGCAAGGGAACCTTTCCCTTTACCTTTAATATTGTTTTACAGTTTTAAATTTTAAATTTGGCATTGCCACTTGTTAGCCGCCCTGAACGGCTGGGTAGGGCGGGATATAAATCCCAAAATAAATAAAAATAAAATAAATTAAAAGAGGCCTCTGCCATTCAGACCCCCCTCCAAAGGCCTGGCAGCGCCTCCTGAAGATCTTCAAGGGGGGGCTCACCTCCTCAGGGAGCCCCCCCCCCACGGAGCCACGATGGAAAAGGCTTGGGATCTGGTTGGTCCCAGCCAGGCCCCCCTAAGGGGCAGGATAGCCAGCCGAGGGCTGCCTGACATCCCTAGTTGGTGTACAGGGACACGTGGATGGAGACCATCCTTCAGATAGATGGGTTCCAGGCCTCGAAGCGCTTTAGAGCATAGCTGTTTCCGAAGGGGCAAGGCCTGTTCCCTTTAGCTGGCCCCTGGCAGCAGTCGGGCTGCCGCAGAGGCGTGGATCCGTGTGGCCAGGGAGGAAGCGGGTGAGTCGGGTGCAACCAGTGGGAGGCACTCCTGAGCACCTTGCCAGCCTGCTCTTCAGAACGCAAGGTGGGGTCCACGAGTAGCCCCGGGCTCTTGACCTTCCCTGGAAAAGGCAGCATCCGTCCGTCCGTCCATTGAGGGGGGGGTCCAGTCCCCCTGGAACATCAGCCTTCCCGGCCAGAACTGCCTTGGTCTGGTCTGGATTCGGCCTCAGTTCTTTCTACCGTAGCCACCCGACCGCAGCCTCGAAGCACCGCCTCGGAATCAAGGCGGACACATCTGGAGGCTTCGGTGAATGAAAGGCAGAGCTGGGTGTCACCTGCATGTTGAAGACACCGGACCCCAAAGCTCCGGACAGTCTCAGTCAGTGGCCTCATATTTATCTGGGACAGAGTGTGGGTGAGAGAACAGAACCCCGCGGTACCCCACGAGATGAATTCCACCCGGTTGATTCTGCACATCTGGGGGAGGCTCTTTGTGTCCGGTCAGACAGAAAAGAGCGAGATCACCGAAGGGCTGTGCCCTTAATGCCAACTCCATGCTCAAGCCTGCCTGCGGATAAGAGTGGAGCGGTCAGAGGTGGCTGAGAGGCCCGACAGTATCAACAGGGGAGACTGTCCAAGTCCAGCTTCAAGCGAAGATCTCTGCCAGTGCAGCTGAAGCCGCCTCGGCACCAAGCCCGGGCCTGACACCAGACTGACGTGGGTCAAGGACAGATGTGTCACTCGGGACACTCTGGGGCTGCTCTGCCAGTCAAGTGGAAACTCTCCTGCAATTGGCTGCCTCATGCCTAGCCAGCGAAGGGGGTTTTGCAGCAGAGGCCTAGTAACCGCCTCCTTCAAAAACAGTTCTCATAGCTCTGAATTTTATAATGCTCCCTACCGCACAAAATTGGAGCTGCGGTGGCTCAAGGGGTTAAGACGCTGAACTGCAGGCTGCGGAAGGTCGGTAGTTCAGCAGTTCGAGACCTGAGTGTGCCGCAAGACGGAGTGAGCTCCCGTCTCTAGTTCCAGCTCCTGCCCACCTAGCAGTTCGAAAGCAAGAAATTGCAAGTAGATAAATAGGTACCACTTCGGTGGGAAGGGAACAGCATTCCGTGCGCCTTGGCGTTTAGTCATGCCGGCCACATGACCACGGAAACATCTTCGGACAGCACTGGCTCTTCGGCTTTGAAACGGAGATGAGCACCGCAACCCTAGAGTCGGACTCGACTGGCTTTCGAGCAAGGGAACCTTTACCTTTTACCGCACAAAATAGATTTATCTAGCCCAGGTCCTACCTAGAGGCAGGGCAACTGGTGCCTAAAAAATCTGTGGCCTGTGCACGTTCTACCTTTTCTTTCCAGCGGCCCAGGCAGGAAATTTCAGAGCCATCCCAGGCGGTTTCCACCTGGGTGTCGTGCTGTGCCTTGGCTTGCTTACAGCAACTCTGCATTGGGGAGCATCCACAAGACGTTAGCTGTTCGTCCCGCTTCTGTGTTTTCCTTGGCTTTTCTCCAGTCTTCCCCAAAACCTGTTTGGTGTGATCTCTTTGGGAAGACTGCAGTCAAAGCATCTTTGGACACGGTGTGGATGGGAAGGAATGCGTTTTTGCAGACGCTGCCCACATTACCTCCATTTCCCTTGCCCCCGCCTTTGTGGACACAACTTCCCACCCACACCCACCCCAAAGGGATTTTTCAGTCTTTTATTTTTTCTGAAAATGGGGATATATAGATTGTTGTAACATTAGGACGACCTGCTGCAACAGTGCACTAGTTCCCAGATCTCACTTTTTTAAAAAGTAGGCCTCTAGCCCTTTTTTGTTGCAGAGAAAAGCGCAGGCTGTGCCTTTCCCCCCTTATAACGGCCACAAGAAGGGCTGCAAACTTACCTTTCTCAAAATGAAAGCTGCCTTCTAGTAGAGGCAGAGGAAATGCCAAAAATATGAATAATTGGCTCTTACAACTTGAATCCCTCACATGTTGCTAAAAACGCAGGGGTCATTTCGTAGAAAAAGAGGTGCAGGAGCTCATTAGCATAACTCAATAGCATAACTTATTTGCATATGCCACACCCCCTGACATCACCGGAAGTGTGTCAGAAGGCAACACCCACTGCAACTTACCTGGCTGCTTCTTGCTTCTCGTGGCCTGGGGCTGCTGGGAGCAGGGGGCGGGGCTTGTTGCATGTGCCCGCCCCCTGGGCACTTTACTGCCGGAGCTCCGCTCCTGTGCGCTCCTGCAGGAAATGACCCCTGCTAAAAAGCATGATTTTGGGAAGTAAGAATCCTTTGAAATTATAACCATTATTTTTTGTATACCTCATCTATAAGTATGAGGATCTAAGGCTGTTTGCATACCGGGGTTTGTTTCCCAAGTGGCACGCCCTTCATGGGAGCTCCTTCACAATGTTGCACAGTTTTCTGCTTTGCTTTGACTGGAAGGGGAACCTGCACACTGGCTGCAGGCAGGGCCTCCACGTGAAAGCGCTGCCTGCAGCCAATCAAGAGGCGGGGCGGAGCTTAGCGCTGCCTTCAGAATGGCAACCCCTCCCCTTTAGCCCTTTAATGGGGCTTTTTAAAAACTCAGCCATGGCTCAGCTGCTGGCTAGGAGGAGGCGTGGAGGCAAGATTGTCATAAGGTCAACCCTTCTGCACTGACATGAGCAGGAGTCGGGTGGGGTGGAGCAGTGTCAGCCGTGAGTGGTGTGGGGAAGGTGTGTGAATGCAGACCATGCACACGGCAGAGGGAACAGAGACACTTCCAACAATCAAGCGACAAAAGAAGACACAACTACACCTTTATGGAAGGCATCTGTGTGACCCTAAAAGTTCACTGGGAAAAAGTTCTTGTGAAAGAAGAGAATTTGAGCCCACATAGGGTAGCTCTAGGAATCCCTGGAAATGCTATGGTAAAACCATACGGTTTGGGGTGATCCCTAGAGCTACCTTATGTCATGTTTGGGTTTTCTCTGGATATAATGTAGGGCTTTTCTGCATTCTTATTTTCCTCACTTGTAAGTTCCTGTTTCTCTGGGGGGTCTATTCCACACATATTTTGCTCCCTCAAGTGGCCGAAGTGGTTGAAGTTATATGGGTTTGTGTCCAGCATAAAAACCTGCAGTTTAAATCTGCAGGAAGAAATGCTGCACATAAGCCAATGTAATATTGAATCAACAACTAGAAGGAGGAAAACACGTGTGGAACAGAAACCCCCCCCCCCCAAGGAACAGGAACTTACAAGTGAGGAAACTGAGGATGTGCGAAAGCCCCTTGTGACATCTGTGCAGTCGCTGTTCCTTTTGTTGTTGTTGTTGTTTTCTCCCACTGTTGCTCCAAGCAGCGATGAGAACTGAGGACTGCCAGAAGAAGACCTCCCACCACAGCGGGAAGCCTGGCAGCCCTAAGCTGCCGTTTTACACCCTTCTAAACCCATCTGAATGGATTCAGAAGGGTGAATGGTGCTCTCGGCTGCTCAATGGACAGCTATTCCAAGTGCACATGCGCGTCCACGCACGCGCACACATGCACTGAAGCTGGAGAAGGCAAGAGGCCAAAGGGTGCCGCAAGAACATGGATCCAGCACTCATCTGCTCCCATAGATCCTTCGGATTGCTTCGTTGAGCGTACACAAGTGGCAGAGTGTAGACCTCAGTCTGCTTGCTAGGATGCCGTAAGTCAGGCCCATGACCTGCAGCCCCTCACGCCTGAAGTTCTGCCTCTCATAGAATCACACGGAATGGGAAGGGGCCATCCAGGCCATCTAGTCCAACCCCCTGCCCAATGCAGGACCAGCCTGGAGCATCCCTGACAAGTGTTTGTCCAGCCGCTGCTTAAAGACTGCCAGGGAGAAGGGGGAGCTCCCCACCTCCCCAGGCGGCTGATTCCACTGTGGCACAACTCTGACTAAACCCCACACCCTCCAAGGCGAACTGCTTTCTAGCCACGGGAGAAGAACTTTCTGCTTGGTTCCAATCCCCCCCCTTTTTAAAAGCTCTTTACCAAGGAAAGGAAACCCGTTCTAATATTGAATCTGATGGAGGGGAGCTCCTCGCTTTTTTTTCTTTTCTTTAGCAAGAAAAGTCTTTGCTCACTGATTTGAGATGCGGGGAGGAGAAATGTGATTGAATAGCCGCCCCTCCCTTTTCTGCCTAAACCCCGCACCCTCCAAGGCGAACTGCTTTCTAGCCACGGGAAAAGAACTTTCTGCTTGGTTCCAATTGCGCACCCCCCTCCAGTTCATTTTTTTAAAAAATAAATAAACAACTTGAGGAGTGATCCAGAAACAGAACGGGGGTGGGGGAGGGAGGCGTTGGTCCTGGAGAAATGTTGGATCGCTTCTCACGCCTGGCGAGCCCGAACCCCAAGCACGACGACTCTTCTGCCTGCCGGCTGGCCTGCAACACTCGCTCCTCACGGTTCTGACCTCCCTGGCAAAGCAGGCAGACGGACCCGGACAGGCCTGGCTGGGAGGGCTGATGGGCTGAGGAGGAGAAGGGGAGGCGGATGAGGGAATGAGTGGGAGCCGGCAAAGGTGGCGGCGCCCCCCCTCTCTCTGGGGGTTAGGGGGCTGGGTGGAGGGAGGGGAGCAAGGATTGGGGAGGGGGCCCATTAAAATCGTGGGGGGGCAGGCCCCAGGGTAAAATTGTGGGGGGGCAGGCCCCAGGGGCTCCATGCTAGCTACGGGCCTGGAGGGGGATCACACCCTCCTGGCTTCCTGCAATGATAGAGCTGTTCCACAGAGCTTTGGGGGGCAGCCAGAGCCTGGGCAAGGCGGGACTGCCTGCTCGCCAGGGCAAAAGTTGTTTTCAGTTTTTGTTTCTAATGTGCTGTGCGCCGGAACGGGCCTGCTCTGGCCTGCAGGCCCTGTTCCACCCTACCCTCCAAGGTTTCCCCAACACCTGGAGAGGCTTTTCTTTCTCTCTCAGGTAACCACTGCCACCACCTGACCTTTGTACGGAATTGCCCGCTGGGAGGGTCAGGACTCCTCGCTTCCCTTTCAAGTTCTGAGGCCTGGCCTCTGTATCTCCCGCTGCCCAGTGCCTGGTCACCACAGGGACAGTTTACTACCTTGTGCACCCCTGGAGGAATAGCCGCTTGCCAACTGCCTGCCTTCCCCTGATGCTCCTTTAAAAATAGCGTGACCAAGACAGTGGAAGTCTATGTGGTACAGAGAACCACCACCAGCATCAAAAGTTATAAAATATTTATTAAAGGGAAAATGTTCACAAACATACTTTTAGCACAGCACCAGACTGAGCAAGGGATTCGAAAGAAATGGGTGAAACACAATTCCTCTGTCCCTCTCTCTATACATGCCCTATCAGATGTTAAAATATAGGACAGGCTCCTTAGCTGAGGAAGTTATAGATCTCTACAGAAATCCCATTACCTTGAAGCTTCCTCCAGCTCTTCAGGCCAGCCCATGGTTAATGGCCGCCTCCTCCAGACCTCAGTTAAGAGTTCTGTCTGGTCGGATGGACTCAGCACAAGAGGCCTTCCTCCTTGCTTCCAGGAGTTTTATCACCTCTCTTCTCCCCACCCACTAACTAGGTCAGAGAAGGTTTTCCTGAGTTTTCCTGAATTTCCTTCCTGAAGTCTCTCTAGTATTTAACACCTCCAAATCTGTTTCTTGCTTGGGGGGGCAGCTTGACCATCCCATTCTCTAGACCTATTAGCATTTGTATAAATTTGGGCTGAGGTAAGTCTGGAAAGCAATTGAACTGACTTCTCTTCCCCCCGCCCCCAAGCTCGTTCTCTGCCCAGAGGGGGGGGGAACTCAAAGCTAAGGTTTTGCTCATTTCTAACCTCCAAAGAAAAAAGGCATTTCTTCACATGCTGGAACTATGCTGCTTTTATGTTTGTGTTGTCAAATTGTTTTTATACTGTTGTTTCCTGTTGTTTCCCAGGTCCCACCCTTTCCCCCTACTACTCCACATAGCCCTGGCTTCTCGTAGCAACAGCAGCTTGTTGCCTGTTTGCCATGGCTAATGTGGACAGCTGTTCCCACTGAGAGCTCTGTAAGTTATTCTCTCCACACGCACACGCCTCTGGTTCCCCCATTTCTAGGCTAACTTGTTTTCTGGCAGAGAGCCAGTTTGGTGCAGTGGTTAAGTGCGCGGGCGCTAATCTGGGAGAACCAGGTTTGATTCCCCACTCCTCCACTTGCACCTGCTGGATGACCTTGGGCAAGCCATAGATAAGATAAGAGCTGTCCTTGAAAAAGAGCAGTTTCTGTCACTCAGCCCCACCTACCTCACAGGGTGTCTGTTGTGGGGAGGGGAAGGGAAAGGAGTTTGTAAGCCGCTCTGAGACTCCTTTGGGTAGTGAAGGGCGGGGTATAAATCCAATCTCTTCTTCTTCTTCCTGATTTCATCCCTGGGGTCAGGTTCATGCATTTCTCTGGGCTGCTCTTTTCATTCACAGAAATGAGCATGGGGATTATTGTTTTTTTGCTGTGTGGAGTAAGCAAGTTACTGTCGTAGGGTTCCCTCTCCACAGACACTATTTATTCAAGTAGATACTTCCTCTGTGAGCAGGAAGTGGCTCAAGGTCCTGGTCAAGTTGTCCGAGACAGAAATGAAGACGCAAGCCGTGGAAAGTGAGCGGCTGGTGTGACGCAGACTCATGCTGCTGCTTAGGCTGAGGCCTGCCTTGGTGTGCAGAGCTGGGCTGCCTTTAGGGCAGGCAGCAAGATTAAGATGCCGGGGCATGGCCTTTCCCCCTGCACTTTTTTCTGGCATGGAACTGACCCCCGCCAGAGCTGGCCAGGCCTCCAGAAAACCTGGATGCCTTCATCCCTGTGGCAAATACAAGCTCTGTATTCAGGGGCTAGTGTGGGGGATTAAGGGTCCAGCATTGCCTGACTGGGGTGGGGGTGGGGCTGCTGCTGCTGCTGCTGCTTCCCAAGAACGGTGCTTTTCTGAGGCTCACTCCAGGGCCTCTTGGGGTGCAGCCTGCTTGCAGCCAACCCAGCTAAGACCATGATGATCTCTCCCGTAGGGTGGAGTCCAGGATGGCTTCTGACATAAACCTCATCCTGCAACTCCTGCAGCGACAACTGTCCCAAGTGCCCCCGGCGTACAGCCCCATCTTTCCCTCCTCCAACTTGTCGCTGTACAGCATCAGCCTGAGGGGCATGGAGCCCGCCCCACCCCTGGAAGAAGAGGCGCTGACTCCCACTGAGCAGGTGAGACAGGCGTGGGTCTCTGGCACTCAGCAGCTGGCCAGGAAAGCGAGTGAGGGCCTGAGAAGCTGAGCAGCACACTGTCTGGGTGTGGAAGGTGCAGCAAAGGGCAAGTGAAGCCCAAGAGCGGTGGATTCTCAGGTGCTCCAGGCAGAAAGGAGTCCTGACCCCCCCTCCCCTGATGGAGCCCTTTGCTACAGGGAGGACCCTCCCGCTCGGAGCTCCAAGTATGTGGATGCCGCTTCATCATCATAGAATCACAGAATCATAGAATGTTAGAGTGGGAAGGGACCTTGCAGGTCATCCGGTCCAACCCCCTGCACTCTGCAGGAGCATAGCCGAAAGATAGCCCTACATACCTACAACATACCCAAAAGATGGTCATCCAGCCTCCACTTGAAAACGTCCAGTGAAGGAGCATCCACCACCTCCCGAGGCAGTCTGTTCCACTGCTCAACCACTCTTACAGTTAGGAAGTTTCTCCTGATATTTAGCCGGTAACGACTCCCTTGTAATTTCCACCCATTAGATCTAGTCTTGCAATCCGGAGCAAGAGAGAATAGGTCTGCTCCATCTGTAGATAGCTGCGGTTTCATCACGTATGGCCAACCACCCTCCAAACAAGCAAGGAATCAAATCTGGGAGGATGTTTCTTGTCAGTCTGTACTGGTATAAATTCAAAACTTCAGAATTGTTTGATTCCAAGGGGGACTTGCCACTCCATTTCAGGGCACTATCCTTTTTCAATTCACTAACAGTTGCATGTATGATAAGGAGAGTGCCATTTCAATTATCTGTGCTTAGAGAGACAAGCTAAACTTGATTTTGTTTCAGAAACACAGTGGAAGTTGACCATTTAATTACTTCCTTGTTTCATTTAATATGTGCTACCATCTTGTTTCTGATTTCTGTGGTCAGGAGGACTAGAATATCTTGTTTTTCCCCTAAAAGAAAAGTAGGGATTGTCAGAGCCTTTCAAGATTTTTGAGCCGCAGATACGTGCCACAATGATCAGAAGTCACGTGACTCTTTTCCTTTTCTCACCAGACTCCAAGCGATGCAGATACTGAAAAAGCCCAGCTGAAATCCAGGGACTCCTTGTCAAGTGGTGTACACCTGACTTTGGCTTCCGATGAGACTATGACCATCAACTCAGAACAGGAGCATTATTCACAGACCCTGCCAGCCCTAGACCCCGATCAGAGGGCGGAAGGCAGCCGGGGACTGTCCCAAGGATCTCGTTTCCCTTCGCTCCCTGAGCATCTTGAGGCTCCTTCTGAGCACTTGGACATGCAGAGATACCTCTCTGACCCATCGCTTCCAGGGAGTTAGGAATCTGGACGAACCGTGTCACGAGAACTGGATCAGCTGCTTTTAGTGGTTGGACTTGAAGGGCAATACTAATGGCTCAGGGCTATTACTTGCACCCACCTTCTGCTTTCTCTGAGCAGAAGACCGTTTGGAAAGGAATTGGCCTCCAAGATGGTTGGTCTTAGAAAGGGTACTCCATGCAGTAGGACCCAGGCCACATTCTTGCCCCAGCCCCCCACCCCACCCCAGAATGGCACAGATACCGAATGGCTTCTTGCACACATTCTTCACACACGTGCACACACAGATCTCGCATTTTTTAACCACATACTGTCTCGATGCAGGGGTCTGCATATATTTCTATGGTTTCCGACCTTGGAAGGACATGGGAATACTTCCTTAATATGGTAAAGGCGAAATTTCCTCTGAAGGAGGTGCAGACTGCTAAGTACTTAAATTTATTCTTGATCAAAGGAAATGGAGTTTAAGTTCTCTGATACTACTTAGGTAGGCTTTACAGGTAGTAGAGATGTATGTTCCTCTGAAGCAAGAAGGGAGGAAAAAGGAAAATGATGTGTGTTCGTCCCCTACCCCCCGCCCCGCCCCGCCCCAGATATATCTGGCTTTGATGTAAAACATTACATCTCAGTAGAAGCCACTTGCCTGGGATAACAGTTCCTTCTGGATGAGCATCTCCCCAGATTTTGCTTAAGCCTTTATGTAAAAATACAGGCATTTGCAAGTGGGTATAACTTTTTGTACGTGCACCCAAAGCTAGTATAAACAGAATTCCTAAAACCCTGGGGAAAGAAAGACGCAAACAAAATGAGGCCCCATTTCTTCTGTTTGTGGATCTCCCCTCCTGGAAGTATCTCTGTAACAGTTCCACTCACCATAAAGTAACGCATAAAGCGACTGTAGCTAAATTCTCAAACTGTCCCCATGTCACCCCGCAGTTAGATGCGGCAGTGGTGCTCTCTGAAGTAACAGACTGCACCCTCAGTAAAAGGGGTGGGGGGGCTTTTCCTGTGGCATTTTAGTGTACACTTTGCTAATAAAGATGATTTTGGCACCTGTTGCGGCCTGTTAGTTCTTCCCTCTGGGCATCGAGGGTGAAGCGTATAGAGTAAGAAGAGTCGGCCTTCGGTGCGGAAAGGGGTCCAAGGCAGAAACGCTGATTTGTTACTATTTCATGTGTGATTTCCTGGGCCCTCTTAGCAGCCTGGTCTCTACAAATACCCTTCTTGTCTGCTCTTGGTGGCTGGTGATGCCAAAGGGCTGCAAGGCGTCCCTCGCAGTTTTTCCTCGCCAGGGGATCTCCAAGCTGTCAGGCCGGTTTCCTCCATTGATCCAGAAAGGCACGTGACTGACAGCATGCATCTCCAGACTAGACTTCCTGGTTACTTTGCCACCGTTGACCCACTCATTCGTAGCTCGTTAGGGTGTCGATAATCTCGTACGAGCACTCGAGGATTGATCAAGGTGTGAGGAGGCTCTTTGCGAGGCAGACGGTATTCACTCCACATGAGCTTAGGAGAAGGCTCGTCGTTTGCCCGGATCTGATACTTCATTGTAGACTAGATGGCAATTCAATTGGTCGGTCCACGCGTCCCAAAGCTCGGGATGGGCTGGATCGTAGATCTCCCAAGTTTCCCCGAGCAGAGGCCATGGCGAAACGTTAACAAGGAGTGGTGTTCCTCAAGGCGGTGCGCGATGCGGTGCTGCTTGAGAGCGATGCTGGGCGCGTTGGCTGGAACGATGCTCGGTGCTGTGCTGGGATGCGAGCCAGGCCTGGCTCAGCGGGATCCCACCTTCATCGCCACTGAAAAGTACTGGGTTCGCCGCATGGAGGACTCAGACAATGACATGCTGTAGCACACATTTATTGTACTTAACACAGACAAAGACTAACTCTAACGGCCCGACAGGGCCAACTATATACATATCCACCCAGCACTCCCCATTCCCATTGGAGGGTTTGAATGTCCCGCCAAAGTGGCTATTGGTTGGGGCTGGGGGGATCCAGGATCCAAAGTTTCCATTGTTCTAGGATCCAAGCTCTTGCCTGTGCCGCGGACCCCTCGTGGCGGCCCGCGTACATAACACCCAGCATACCCTTCATGCAAGGGAATGGCCCTGTAATGATTCCTTGTTTTATGAGTGGGTGTGTGCCTTAACATGCTTGGTTGGAGTGCATGGTTAGTAGACTGGAGTGACTGAGAGAGACAGATGTGCTGTGATTGGTGGATGCCAGAGTGTGGGAGGGGTTTTTGAAGTGAATCTGTGTGGGTGTGTCAGTCATGAGAGACAGTTGGAAATCAGTTGGAATTGTTCAGTTGGAGAGTTAAGCCAGTGAGTGTTCAGTTAGTTTTGAATGAGTTCTTAAAGAGTCCTTCGCCTGTGTGGCTGACTATAGGAAAGAGGGACTCCTGCTAAAGTTGGAACTGAAAGTCAAAACCAGCAAAAAGTAAAGGGCAAAAAAGACAGTACGTGTGATACATTTGATACGACATATTTTCAAGTCCCTTTATCCAAGATAGTTACAGAATAACCAACCTCATATTTTGTTCTTACTTCAATAAATCATCTGGATCCAGCAACCTCTGAGGGAAGACTATCCAAATGAGACCATTGTCGCTACAGGAGAAAGACCTTGAGCAGACTGTGACATGGGCACAAAATTCAGCTCCTTACTAGATTGCCGGCTTCCTGCTTGGTGAAAAGAATTCAATCCACCATTTGGCCTTTTTGCAACTTAAACAAATCCACGGTGCTACTGATAATACGGATGATGATGATGATGATGACGACGACTGATGGCACTCTCTCATTGGGTCCATGGGGTGAGCATGACCCAATGAGGCAGTGTTCTGAAAAGCCATTGCTCTTCAACACTAGGCCCAAGACCTCTGTAAGTGAAGCGGGGGCTCTTGCAGGTGGGTTATGTGGACAATACACCGGACAGGCCAAGCGTGACCTGCAGTCGGAGATCAGGCTCTACTTCAACCACCTCTCTGTTCAGCCCTAAAAAGGAATAATCCTGATATCAAGCAGCCTCCCCACATCCAGGCCCGTAGCTACATTGCAACATGTTGGGGCCCGGCCCCCCAACTTCCTACCAAGGCCCCCGACTTCCATCTAGCCCAGGCCCACTGCAAGCACGGCCACCTCTCCCCGAAGAAGCACGGCTTGCGTCCCCACTGCCGCCGTGTTGGGATTCTTTGATTCAGGGTCGATGGTTGTATTGCAAACACAAGAGCACACACTTAGTAAAAGAAAAATATCTTTACTATAAAAACAAAATACAACAAATGAGGGAGCGGTGGCGCAGGCGGTTAAACGCCTGCCAGTAACATCTTTGAACAGCTGTTACAGCTGTTTGATTCCCACCGCGGCCAGTGTGAGCAACTGGCCCTCGTCCCAGCTCCCGTCAACCCAGCTGTTCGAAAGCGCCGATTAACACCTAATTAATGCTAGATCAAAGCATTTCCACAAACAAGCTGTTAGTTGACCAATACAAAGGTTACAGGTCACTTCATGAGGATAAACAACTCCCACAAACTTTCCCGCCCTTGAATACATTATGTAACGTAACATCCTGTTTCCTAAGAAACAACATTTAACTCTGTAATGACTGAAGTGTAAGCAACTTGCAATTCCAACACGCTGCTGCCGCCCCTTCCCCAAGCAGCCGGTCAGTTTCCCTCGTGCGGCTCTGCTGCACTCTCTCTCCGGCCACGTGGCAAGGGCTCCCCTTAGAATTGAGAGACACACTCTGTTTCAGCTTGGAGGAGAGGGAGGGGGGATCCCAGAGCCCTGCAGCAGCCCAGGAGGCCTTCCGCCACAAAAGTGTCAGCAGGAGTCTTGTGGGTTTTTCCTCCCCCCCCCCCCCGGCCCTCCCTGCCCCTTCCTGAGCACAGTGGCCACAGGAAGCGGCATGAGGCAACCAGGCGGGTGGGCCAGGACTCAGGAGGCAAGGTGGGGCTAGCAGACTTCAAACGGCATCCCCCTGCCCTGCCCAGTGCAGCTCAGAAACTTTTGGCGGGGCTGGGGCAGTTGTGTGCTATGATTTGGACTGGGGCGTCTCTTCCTCCTCCTCCTCTGCCTCTTCCTGTGCCCAGCCGGAGCGCCGGCAGAGGCCAGCTCCACGGTGCTTGGGTTCCAAGGCGCATGAGTGCTCGCTCGCCCTGTGACTACCGGAGCCCCTCGCCCTACCCGAGCTTGGCAGCCACCGCGTCCCCTCTGGCCCCCCACACGGGAGGGAAGCCTCCATGGGCGAGTGGCCCTGCCTGCTCCAGGTGCTCCTGCCTGCTCAAGCGGGCGAGCGTGGGGGTTCTTCGATTTTATTTCTAATTTGTTTTTGTGATGTCAGTGCCCCGTGACTTATTCAGCGGGGGGGCCCCATGACAAAATCCTGGCTACGGCCTGCCCACATCTGGTTGAAAGGCAGCATCACTAGCCAAAGGCGGGTTCGTGCCATCATCCCCTGACATCGTCCTTCTGCACTGCCTTGGTGGAGTCTACAGTGGAGGTCCCCTAATCCCAGGTGGCTTCATTCTGATCGATCAGCAAGGGTTCTCCCGGGTGCAGACGAGGGCAGGGCCTCTCCTCTCCCCAGACGACAAACATCCCAGCAAGTTCGAAACAACCCAGGAGAGCAGTCCAAATAACAGCAAGGGGAGATGACGTTACAAACTCTCTGAGGGATGCCAGCCTCCAAGTGGGACCTGGGGACCCCCCAGAATTACAGCTCCTCTGCAGCCTACAGAGATCACTTCTCCTGGAGAAAATGGCTGCTTTGGGGGGTGGGCTCTATGGCATTGTACCCCACTGAGGTTCCCAGGCTCCATCCCCAAATCTCCAGGAGTTTCTGTTATGTCCGCTGACCGCCACCAGGCGCCAGCGGTGTGCAACCCGCGCTTGGCTCCTTTAGACAACAGGGACTAGGACCCTGAGCTTTCCAACTCGCACCTATCAGAACTGTGGTGGGAAGTTCAAACCTTCCAATGGGACTGGTGGGG